CCCTCTGCTATTGAACTTTTGCCTGATTCTCTGCTTTTAGGTGTGGCAATGCTTGTTGCTGCCACAAAGCAAGTATAGAAGAGGGGCATGGGGGGAACAGACAACTGACAGAAGGACTGGAGCACTATTTAATGAACACTTGTGGGGGCAGGGTGGAGAAATGACCCAAACAGTGTATGCACATAATAAAAAAAAAATGAACACTTGCATGCATGGCACCAAAGCTGACTCCCCAGACATGTCCCGCTGATTAGCAAAGCTTATTGTGTGCAAATAAGGGGCTAGACCACTGCTCTCAGCTTTGGTGCTGCTCAGCAGGAGGCAAGGTCAGTGTTTAGAAAGAATTAGAAATTTGTTTTACAGCTTTTCCCTGCAGAGGGTAAAGAGTGGCTGGAGTCTGGATTAGGATGGAATATGAATCTCAATACAACAGGATTGGTGGAAACTATGACAAGATTGGGAGGGGGCAGGGGATACAGTCAATCTGAGGAAGCCCGGTATGGTGTTGAACACCTGTGGAGGAAGAGGCAGGAGGATGGCAAATTGAAGGCCAGTTAGGGGTATGCAGGGAAACACTGTCTTAAAAAAAAAAAAAAAAAGCTAAAAGCTAACACTCCGTTGATGGTTTCTATTAAAGAGTTGATGGACTTTCGTGAAGTCCCATAACTCATTTGCTTGGCTGGATGGACTGGGAAGAAATGTTAATGAAGACCACAGAATAGCAGTGCTATGTTAATGTGGTAGCAAGGGGTTTCAGCACTTCAGTGCACAGACTGAATTCAAATGCAAGTGGTTTAGGTTCTCATGGATGCTTTCTGCACTAGGGAGGAGGATTGCAGTCCTTGCCCTGCAGGAGAGGACCAAGGGGGCCCCTGGGGCTCTGAACCTAGGTGGTTGTCTCCAAAGATAGTAAGTGTGGTAGGGGAGAAGACATCCAGTTCCTTAGGTCTTGGGTTGACTGGGGCTTGGATTGAGAAGGGAGAGAGGTAATCCAGAACTAGATGATGGCTGTCACATGGAGGAGTGAACTTGGAGGAGGAGCAGGTAAACATGGATGAAGGTGGCTCCAGCTGGGCTTTGTTGTCTTGGCGGTGCTTGAAGACTTATCAGGAAAGGAGAGGGAAATGGCCCTTAGCAGGGATTCTTGGAGCGCCAGCCTTCGGGCTAGGTGCTGACCTTCTTAAGGCAGCAAAGGGGAGGAGAGATTTTGTCCTCCCCTATTGCTGGGTTTATGACCAAGGCACCTATAACAAAAGACAGATTAACATACACATTTATTTAATATAAATTTTGCATGACATTGGAACTTTAAGTAATGAAGACTCAAAGACACAGAGAACTGCAATTTTTTTTTTGGTGGTACTGGGATTTGAACTCAGGGGTTCACACTTGCTAAGCAGGCTCTCTACTACTTGAGCCACACCTCCAGCCCAGACCTGAGCATTTTTATACTAAGTTTGATGAAGTATGTAATTATGAACTATGATTGGACAAAGGGTAAAAATCTAATGGTAACAAACTGAGGGGAACGTAGCAAAGCCTGGATTATTGTCTGTGTCTTTAAAGATAAGGACATAACATTCCTCCGTGTCTAGGGAGGGTACCCTCCAAATGAGGGTCTTATGACACACGAGAAATGGTCAGGGTGACCTTCCTAGGTCACATGACTTGCTGTTGGGGAGAAGGATGAGTGGGAGGTGCCACATTTTGGGGTAACCTGTTTTTAGCCCCACCAGTAGCTTACAGATAGGAGAGTGAGGCTCACCCAGGGGCTGCTGGGGTGGCTGGAGGTCAACCCTGTCTGAGGACAGAGAGTATTCTGAATTGCACATGTCTTTTGCAGCTGGGAGCAGCTGAGGGAGGCAAGACCCTGAGTCTTCCCAGCAAAGGCTGGCAGAGGAAGGGGCCTCCCTGTCAGGCTGCTCTCAACCCCAGCCTCAGGTAGAACAAAGAACGATGACTGCTGCTCCTGACACAGTGGCCTTATAGCAGGAGACACCCACTGACCAGCTACCTGAAAAGCAAAGATTTTGGCTTGTCGATGTTCAGGGAAATTGCTGCTCTCAGAGCCCAGAGGAACACAGCCTGTTCTTCCTCCCCCACCCAGAGGCTCGGGCTAAGAACTTTGTCCTCTGGAAGCTGCCGTATCTCTAAAGAATACAGTAACCCCTGAAATCTTTGAGCCTTGGCAGAGGAGACTGAGCTGGAAGCTTCAGGAACACCAGACGTGAGGCTGCAGGAGAAGCTCACCTGAGGCAGGTGAGCAGGTTCCAAGAAGTGGGGAGGGGACTGGGACTACTTGGTTTAGGGTACAGGGAGGATAGTCCCCAGCATGCCCAGACATGTACTCTGAGGTTCTAAGATCTGGCCTAGGGCTGGAGGCCACATGTTCTGAGCTGAATCACTGACTTTCTATCCCTCTCCCATCCGTTCCATGTTTCCCTCAGAGCTGGGGGTTCAGGCCAGTGACTTCTGCCCTCCCAGTGTCAGCTTCAGTCCAGTTATCTGGTTGGCTTGGTCCCTTGGTTGACTGGCACTGCTGTCTACAAGGTGACCTAGATAGGTTTGGGTGAGCCAAGACAGAGAAGTGCATTCTGCTTCTTCTGCAAATCAAACCTGCACAAGGTGCAAGCAATATTGAGTTTAACACCTGGACTTGATCTTCTGGGCCAATGTTGACCTCTGAACCCGGCTATCTTATCAGAAGCAGAAATATTGAAGCATAACAGTTGAGAGCTATGAAGAGGGTTCACCAGCTAATGTATGAAAAGCATCAAGGTTGCAGCCAGGGTCAGGTCTCTGCTGGTAAGAGGACCTGAAGCTCAGAAATGGTCCCTCAGTTTCTCTGGGAACATTTGCTTTGAATCTCCTACATTCTTTTCTACTTCAAGTGACCTCTGCGGTTTTCTCACTTTCCCTTTCCCCAGACTGACCTCTCTGCCAGGTGTCTGGTAAAGAAACTTCTCCCCAGATAATACACACTTACATTTCCTCAGTCAATTTCCTCTAATTACCTCTAACTACTTGTTATACATTTCTCCAGAGTGCTCTACAAATGACCAGGATAGCCCGTGCAAAGATGCTCACCATTTTTAGTCAAACCACACTGCGACAGCACATTGCACCTGCTGGAATGACTATGATGGAAAAGACAGACAGTAACAAGTATTAGCAACAGTAGAGAGAAATTGGAACCTATATTGCTGGCGGGAGGGTAAAACAGTCCAACCACTGTAAGAAGCTTGATGGTTCCTCAAATAATCAAACACAGAGCTAGCTACCTTATGACATAGTATTTCCATTCCTAGTTATAGAACCAAGAGAATTGAAAATGTATGTCACATAAAAATTCGTATATGGCCAAGCATGGTGGTAATCTCAGCACTCCAGAGGCTGAGATAGGAGAATTGCAAGTTCAAGGCCAGTTTGGGCTACATAGCAAGACCCTGTCTCAAAAAAAAAAATCATATATAAATGTTCTTAATACCTGAAACAGCCCAAATGTTCATCAGCTGATGAATGAACTAAATGTGATGTATCCACGCAATGCAGTGTTATTCAGCCATAAAAAGGAATGAAGTTCTGATGAACCTTGAAAACATTACATTAATGAAAGAAGGCAGTTATAAAAGATCTCATATTGTCTGATTTCATTTATATGAAATGTCTGGGAATGGAGGCATAGATCAAGTGTGAAACCCTGAGTTCAAACCTCAGTGCTGCCACACCACCCCCCCACACACAAAGTCCATAACAGGAAAATCCAGAAAATAGATTAGTGGTTTCCCAGGACTATGGAGAGGAGGAATGGGGAGTGGCTGCTGATGTATGGAGCTTCTTATTAGAGTAATGAAAATGTTCTGGAAATAGTGGTGATGGTTGTATAACTGTGAATATACTAAAACCACTGGATTGTGAACTTTAAAGGGGTGGATTTTATGGTATGTGAATCATATCAATTCTAATCCTTAGGGTCCTAGGTACCTTGTATGAGGGTCCTCAGATTTTGGATTATGGGGCTTAGGGTCATGGTAGCCCTTTCTGAGTTTGCCTCCAGGACTGGAGATGGAGAGGGAGGGAGTCACCAGGGTCAGAAGTGTTTTCAGGTCAGTTTTCAGGTTCCAGGCCTTATTGAATGAGGGGAAACTCCTGCCTGTGGTGGGAGGGACATAAAACAATGGAGAAGGCCTCCTGCAGGAAGTGTTGCCACAGGAGGAAGAGGGTCCTGGTCTCCATCTAAAAAGTTGGGTGGAGTCTCCCAAGGCTGGACTTCCGGACACCCCACTGTGAGTGGTGTCCAGAGATCCTAGGAAATGGCTTTGAAGACCAGCTGTCTTCTTTCTACAGTGAGTGGGACACTGACTGTTTACCACAGTTACCATGGGAGAAAGCCAACACAAGCAATGAGGCCAAGGGTTCAAGACAGCTCTGCCTCCTGAATTATCCATTGTCCCACTTGGGCCTGTCTGTCCAGGAGGGTTAAATGGAATGAGCTCTGATGGTCCTTTCTCACTGCTCAGCAGCATATTTTGATGTACGATTTGGAGACTGGACTAGTTGCTCTGTGGCTACACATAGGGTAGTACCCTATAGGGGGCTGATAGTATATCTATTCCAAATGCACCCAAGAAAAGTCCTTACCCTGACTCTGGACCAAGCCTTGACCCCATAACTGGCCCTGATTCTCCATCTCACTGCTGGAAGCCAAGAGCCAGTGATAGACTGCATGGCTCAGCCCTGTTCCTGGAACCTTTGCCTGAGGGGTTTCTGTGAGGTGAGGCGAGTCCAGCTGCTTCTCTTTAGAAGGAGAGTTATACTGGGGAAAAAGTGAGGATATGAAATAGGCCACACTCTCTCAGGAAGGGCCCTACCAGCACTGTGACCTAGGTAGGAATTAGGAAGACTGCTAGAGCTTCAAGTCACAGATTCTCACTAGCCACTGAGGTTCCTTCTGCACATTCTTGAGGATTTTATCTTATCCCATGGTTGGCTGTCCACAGGGCCAGTGGGTGAGGAACCGCAGATGCCAGACAAGGACACTAAGGCCACAATGGGTACAGAAGACACTCCTGGAAGCAAAGCCAGCCCAGAGCCTCAGGATTTGCGGCCACGTGTGTTCCGCAGCATCAAGGTATGCCTTGGGGACAGGCAGGGACAAGGCCTCCATGCCCAGCAAAGCAGGGGTACATAATGACCAGCGAGATTCTGCCACACCTGGACAATGGGTGGCTGTGGGGATCAAAGGGATGATCTATAAACTTAGACCGTCTCTTAGCTTGGTTTCAGGCACATAGAAGGTATCCAGGCCAGAATCTCTCCTTCCAGAGACAAAAGAGGGCCTGTTCTGTGGATAATAGGGGGACAAAGTCTCTTGTCTCCCGTTTCTCTAGAGAAATTGAGAAGTGTCCCAGCAATCCTAAGCCTGTGTGAATACCAGAGAGTCCTGGTCTCACAAAGGTGGCCCTAAATGGCCAATACCACCAATAGACACCTTCTGGGTTCAGACCCTGTGTTAAGTGCAGTTCACACATGACCTTTTTTTTTTTCTCCTGGTGCTAGGAATGGAACCCAGGCCTTGTTCATGTTAGGCAAGCATTCTACCTCTGGTCCACCTCCCCAGCCAGCATGATCTGCTGAGTCCCCTCAATAACCTCTAGGAGGCAGAATCTTTGTCCTTGTACAGATGAGGAAAGTGAGACTCAAAGAACAGAGTGAATATATTAAGCTTTGACATAAATAGTCTATTTTTTTAATTCTTTGAAGCAATTTTTATTCTTTTCTTAGGAATTCTGCCAGTCTTTCAAGCAGGCTGGGTTATTTGAGGAGGAGGGGGTTGGGCAGAACTTAGTGTGGGGGGTGGTCTCCAGGGCAGCTCTAAGGGAGGACTAGATACCAGTACAGCAAGAGCTTCCTGGAGAAGGGGGCAAGGTGACACAAGGTCCAGCCTAGTCCTGGGGAGCTCTGAGGGTCAGAGCAGACTCTCAGTATTCCTGGACCCATGGAGGCCTATCTTCAGTCATATAGGTCTCCAGTAGCCCCCAGACCCACTGGGTGTACACACAGTAGCTTTTCCAATTTTTAGGCCTATGTGAAAAGCCATGGCTGCTCCAATAAATGACTAACTCTCTCTCTCTGTCTCTCTCTCTCTGTCTTTCTCTCTCTCCCCTTTCTTGTTGTTTACTCTCTCCTTCCATGTGTCTGCCTCCTCTGTTTTCCCCATCTTTATTCATTGCTTCTTCTGTTCCCAATTCCATCTCTCTCTCTCTCTCTGGCCACCATCCTCCTCTGACTGTGACCATCCACCTGCTGCCAATTGCTGCACCCCTCTGGCAGTTCTTCGTCCTGTGCCACAGTGCACTGCAGCTGGCACAGCTCATGATCTCTGGTTATCTCAAGAGCTCCATCTCGACAGTGGAGAAGCGCTTTGGCCTCTCCAGCCAGACTTCAGGACTGCTGGCCGCCTTCAATGAGGTACTGCATTGACCTAGCCATAGGGGGCCAAGGGAGAACCATAACCCATCTTTTACCAGCCTCCTCTCCCACTACTCACCATAACCCTTCCCCTCCCAGGGCCCACAGGCAGCTCCAGCTCTGCCCCCTCCCTGAAACTCCTTTAGCTTTCTCCTCTGCAGTGTCCTGGACCAGAAACTGGCCTGTCACCTGCTCAGGGCGCAGGCTCAGAGCAGACCCGTCCCACCCTGGATCATTGCAGTATTCGCAGATATCTTTTTTTTTTTTTTTGGCAGCACTGGGGTTTGAACTCAGGCCTTCATGCTTGTCAGGTAGCTGTCTTTTAAGACCCAGAAGTGCTGCCCTTGGGAGCACTTTGCTGGAGGATGTGGGATATTTTAGAGCTAGCCAGGATCCCCATATACATCTACTCTTCCTTTGGCTCCTTTACATTTTTAGGCACCTAGCTATTGGCTGTCTCATGAAGAAATCAGAGAAAGTCACTTCTACTGTCTCCAGAGAGGCTTAAATTATATCCAGGGCATTCTCTGACCTTGGGTTGGCAGGAGAGAGGGTGATATACCATGGTGGAGTGTCATCCTCAGTGCTCCTCCTTACCCCACCCCCTCACCCCATCCAAACAAAGGCCTCTGCCCGTGGCCCACAGCCAGGCAGGGAGGAATGGATGAGCTGTTCTGAGTAGATTGGGAAATCAGAGTCCAGCTGTGCCCCGGCCCTTGCCGCACGAGATGTTGTCACTCAGAAAAGGAAGCTGTGTCCCCTACCACCTTCTCCCCAGTAGATTTCTGTGGAATTCTCTCCCCTGGGTAATATGTCACATTCCTCCTGACCCAAGGCCCATCAGTGGCACAGTGTCTTGTCCCTATATGTGCCTCATACACCCCTCCAGATTTCAGAGGTGGGAAAGGAAAGTTAACGCATCTGAAAAATGGGCAGTGGTTGTCCTCTCCAGGGTCAGTCCCCTGCTGGCACAACCCACTCCTCTCAAGGAGCCAAGAAGCTGGGGAGCACAGGTAACCCTGTCCTGTAAGCTGCTAAGTCTCCTCCAGCATTTGTATCCTAGGATTGTGATTCTAAGGCTTAAAATTTCAAGCCTTAGTCCTCTGGCTTCAGATTGTCCTTTTTTGTATCTCTCTTTTTTGGCTTCTCTGAAACTCGAAATCCCTTTCCTTGACTGCCTACCCTCCTCCATGTTTGAAAATGAAATTGACCTACTAGCTTGGTCCTTATTGCTTTCCCCTAAAGACACATTGAAACCCAGAGTCTGCGTTTATGAGAGAGACCCGGATGATTCTTATTCAGACAGTGAGTCCATTGCACAGATGGGAACACCGAGGGGTGGCAATAGAGAAAGGATAGTGCAGACCCTGGCCCTGGACTCTGCTGCATTTTAATGGGTCACCTTGTCCCTTTGCAGGTGGGGAACACAGCCTTGATTGTGTTTGTGAGCTATTTTGGCAGCCGGGTACACCGGCCCCGTATGATTGGCTATGGGGCTGTCCTGGTGGCCCTGGCTGGCCTGCTCATGACTTTGCCACACTTCATCTCGGAGCCATACCGCTATGACCACAGCAGCCCTGGTAAGATCAGAAGGGACTGGGTGGGAGACTGACATCAGGTGCCACAGTTCTGTGCATTGGATGGATGGGTCCTCAGTGCCCAGGATACCTGTTAGTCCTCTCCACCCTACCCCTACTGTCTCCCTGAGTCCAGCCCAAGTGGTCTCTCTGGCAGGTCTCAGGAGGGGAGTAAGGGGTAATCCCAGGGCAGGGGGTTGAAGTCTTCTAGTCCTCTCTTCGTGAGAGCCTGCTCATATGTCGCCATGATTTCTTTGAAATGGTCTCTTTATAACATAGGCTACTTTGGGTCCTCGCCTGTAGTGGATGCTCATGCCTTTAATTCTCATGAAGAACCAAAATATTGATAAAAAAAAGAGTAAGTGAGTGAATAAACAAATGTTTAAAATGAAAGAATTATAGACAGGGAGAGTGAGACCTTATTCAACCCAATGGGATTTTGTTGAGGGCCTACTTGACAGAAAGATGCCTGTCCTTAGAGAATGACTCAAGCAACCCGAGCTTTTGCTTCATTCCTTCCTTCCCTCTCCTACTTACCCACCCACCCATCCATTCATCAAAACACCCATTCATTCATTATCCCACACATCTAGCCATCTACCTATCCACCCATCCATCCATCCATCTATCTACCCATCCATCCACTCTCCCACTTATCCATCCATCCATCCAATGGTCCCTGTAATAAACCCTTAATGCTGCTGACTCTATACCTGACCCTTCTCAGGGTACTCACTTCTTACCTCCAGGGAGCTCCCAGTCTGGGAGAGGAGACAGACAAACAAAAAAACCCAGTGTGTCAATTGTGTGAGAAGGAAACATAGCAATGGAAGGAGCTGGTTAGGGAAGGCTTCTCTGGGAGGAGGTTATCAGAAAGTATCTTCTTCACTCACCTTCCATCAGCTCCCATCTCTGGAGGTGCTAAGACCAGGGGGTGGGATGATGAAGCAGACATACTCCAGTAAAGTGTGGGTTAGAGTGAGGTATAAAGCCCAGCACTTCAGGAGATGGCTGGAGGAAGCCACTGGGGCCCTGAGTAAGGGAAGGACATAGCCAGAAGTAGCTGCAGGGAGGAGGAGGGCTGGAGGAGGTGGCATTGGAGAGCAGATTTGGGGGCAGAGCATGGGCAGGGCCAGAGAAGTGGGAAAGCTGAGTGTGTGGGAAGAATGCAGAGTAGGCATCTGGGCCTGAGTGGACGGTTGTCAACAGGACCTCTTGGAATGCTGACAAGTACTACTTCCTCTCATTTCTTTGCTCAGAATGTCCACTTTAGCAGAGCTTTTTCCATGCAGGGTCACACAGGTCCTTCTTCATCTCACTGCTAACCCTGAGCAAAGTCCTTATCCTGTCTAAGCCTGGATGTTTGCATTATCTCAAAGAGTGGGCAAGACTCGATGACTTCTGAGCCCCATCTTGCTCTGACATGTCTGGCTATTTCTTTCTCTGGTATTTAAACAGCTGTATGATGTGCCAGGCTCTCTGGGAGGCACTGGGGACCCAGGGATGGAAACAGCAGACATGATCTCTAGAATACTCCTCTTATCTCATGGGCAGAGGCACCAATCACCACTCGATGTGCACAACCCCACGAGACAGGTGTCATCACTATTATCTCCCCAACGATGACACTGAGGCTTAAAGAGGGAGGAGCTTCCCCAGGCCCACAGGTAGTAGAACCATGATAGAGCCCTGCTCTGAATTGCTGAATTACTCTACTGTGAATTTCTTATACCTAGCAAATGGCAGTTCTAGGAGATTCATTTGAGAGGTGACTGTCCAAGTCACACAGTGAAGCCCAGGAAGCCTCCATTGGAGGCCCAACTCCAGGTTTTTGACCTATTTGGATGGCTTTTCCCGCTCTAACAGAGTGGCTTTCCAGGCTAGGTTGACCTTCAGAGTCCTGGCTCCCACAAAGGGAGGGGGAGAGACAGAAGGCCGCTTCTATACACACATTTGGGATAATAATAATGTGAGGGTCTCCTCAAGTTTACTCAACAAACATTGGTGAACTACAGGGAACAAACATCTGGTACTAAATTAAGAACTGTCCTTTCCTGCACTCTGTGTCTATGCCCTGACCTGACACTGCTCCCTTCCCAAAATAAATGCCAAGGGCACTAATGCCTCCGTGGTCCTGCTGGGCTTCCCTGCCCTGTCCAGCCCTGCCCTGAAGCTCTGGCCTGACCCCCACACCCTGTGATCTGCCCCCCACATTCTGAACTCATTTTACCAACACAGTGCCCTTTCAAGGCCCTGGGTTTGCCTATCCTGTGACCTCTCTCTGGAACCCCCTCCCTCTCTTCCTTTCTGGAAATCATGTTCATTCTTCTAGATCCAATTCAAATTCTACCACTTTTGACTGCTCCACTTCACCCAGTAGCCACCATTGCTTCACTTTTAGTAACTCTGCTTAGAAAGATGGCACAGGGAAGTGTAATAGCAGAAAGGCTGAAGCAAGACCACCTGGGTTCCAGTCCTGGCTCTCCGCCCCTTGCATCTGTGTACCTCGAGTCTGCTAAATGCTGTATGTATTAGCTATGACTTTATGATGTCTTTATTGTCATCTCTCAGAGGATATGCCACAGGACATGGAGGCTTCCTTGTGCCTGCCCACAACCTTGGCCCCAGCCCCCATCCCCTCCAATGGCAGCTGCTCCAGCAACACAGAGACCAAGCATCTGACCGTGGTAGGGATCATGTTCATCGCACAGACCCTGCTGGGCGTGGGCGGTGTGCCCATTCAGCCCTTCGGCATCTCCTACATCGATGATTTTGCTCACCACAGCAACTCACCCCTCTACCTCGGTGAGGACCACCTCACCCCTTGGGATCCTGAGGGTCAAGGTCAGGCTCGGGTGGAGAAACAGAGACCATGGGGTGGAGGCTGGGTATTGTGTCCCTGACCTCTACCCCATCTGACCAGAAAAGTGTGGAGAAGCCCTTCCTGAGCTCCCCAGCCCTGGCTTTAAGAGATGACCTGCTCTTGCTTTTGGAAGACTGGGCAGGCATCAAGCTGCTAAGAGCAACCAGAGCCAGAGGGTCCTAACCTAGACTTTGTGTTGTAGGGATCCTGTTTGCAGTGACCATGTTGGGGCCAGGCATGGCCTATGGGCTGGGCAGCCTCATGCTACGTCTTTATGTGGACATTGACCGGATGCCGGAAGGTGAGCATCAGAAGTGTGCATTTGTTCCCAGGGCCACACAGATGCTAGCTAACTGGCCAATGGTCTCATAGGAGAGATAGAACCAGCGACCTTGATTCAAACCCAGTAGCACCACTGACTTTGGACAAGCCTCTTACCCTCTCTGAGCCTCATCTTCCTCATCTCTGAGATAATCTGTCCTGTCTATCTCCCAAGGCTACAACCAGAACCAGTGAGGTGACAAGATAAACTGTAAAGTACCATCTGCTGAGGTGTTGTGCTTGCTGAAACTTCTATTATCACAAACCTTCACCTTCTTACATACCCGCCCTCCCCCAGGCACCTGTGTGCAGCAGGCAGGCAGTAAAGCACTCTTGGCCTTAGGGAGCTCCTGTCTTTAGTGGAAAATCAGCCTCAGGAGACCAGAAGATGCTGGGAAGAATTTAGAGCAGGATGACTCATGTTACTGGAGAACATGGTGGGGAACCCTTCTAGTCCTTACCACCTCAGAGTCTGGGAAACTGCTGGGGTCACCATTTGGGAAACATGGTCTCTGATCTAGCTAGAGACCAGAGTGGGTCAAGGAGTGAGGCTGAAACTTAGTCTAAAGGTGGCTAGGAGGGAGGAGTGTTGGGAGTCCCAGAGCTCTGGGGCCCTCAGGGGTGGGAGAGGTTCCTGTGAGAGCATGTCACTATGGTGTCTCAGCTGCCTGCTTGTGAGCTGTGAGTGCCATGTGTGCCTTCTGCCTCTTCCTACTCAGAAGTTCTGTTTCTCACCTGGAGATTTTTCTAGTATGTCCTAGAAGCCTCAGGTGGCACCTGTATGAAATTCTCCTGCTTTTGCCAATGGGCGCCTCTAGCCAGGACAGGTCTGGACAATTCTGTACAACTATCACTAGGAACAGTTCTGCCTCCCTTCAGTCTAAATGCTGGGCCCCAGAGCCAAACCTTGACTCTGGTCACAGCCTCTGAAGAAAAGGCCCTGGGAGTCAGGTTCTCTGAGTTTCCCAGACACGCCTCCACTCAGGGAAAAGGTGTGTTTTTGCCATGTTGACATCATCCTCGTAAAGGGATTAGCTCCGTGGGTAGATACAACATTCCTGGAGATGCATTCGCCTCCTCCCAAGTCTGTTTTTATCAGGGATTTTGTAGGGTGGGTGAATTCTGCCTGCTGCAGGCACAGACATGTGTGTGTGGAAGAACTAGGAAGATGCGTGTGATCTCTCCAACCTGGCACAGAGGCAGAGCAGGCAACAAGTGAGGAGTGAATCAAGTCCCATGGGTGCAAAGGCCACACCCATCCCCAGCTCTGCTGATACATTTGTGGTGTGCCAACTGTGTCCCCTGGCTGCTGCCCAGGAGCAGCTCAGGATCAAGCACCTGGGGAACCGGCTTCACACAGCAGTGGTTGGTGCATGGGTATTTTAAGTACTTGTGGATGCTGTGGAGTTTAGGAGAGGACATTCCCAACTCAGCCCTGGGCTTTAGAAATTTCAAAGGGGATTGTGTATTGTGGCCAGAAGGTACACAGGTAAATCAGGGATTTACCTGTCCTAATTAAACCAGGTGTAGCATCAACACTCCTGGGAGAACTTGTTAAAGTTGGTTTCTTCCCATCCCACCCTGTGGTCATGCTCAGTGGGTCTTTAGGGAGGCCAAGTAGTTTTGAGAAACACCCCTGATGATTTCATCCCCTTGCAGGTCTGACAACAGCGGTAGTCTTAACCATTATTTGATTTAGAAACCATTCCATTTAATAGTAATTAAAATAGTAATAGCAATGGAATGGTAATAATAATGGAATAAACATCTATAGTGCCTACTCTTCTTTTACATGTATTTTTAATTAAATTTATTTTTTAGCTTTACATGTAATAGTTTCTATAATTTTCACAACAACCCTATGATATAAAAAGTTACCTGCTGGCTGTGGTAGTATACATCTCTAATCCCAGCACTTGGGAGGCTGAGGCAGGGGGATTGACAGCTTGAAGCTAGATAAAGCCACATAGTAAGACCCTATCTCAAAAAAGAATTTATTCCTCCCCAAAGTATTAATATCTGTGTATCACAGAGGAAGAAACTGAGGCACAAAGACATTAAGTAGCTTGTCCAAGGTTAAGTAGCTGACCCAGTAATCCATTTCCAGACTCTATGATCTTGACTGCCGTATCACATTGCCTTCACAGTTAAAGGAGCTAAACTCCAGAAAGGGGCAGGGACTTGCCCTGACTTGTCACATAGGTCATAAATGGCAAGCCAAGACTAGAAATCAGCTCTACTGATTCTCGACCCTGGCTACCCTACATCTCAAAGGCCAGTCCCAGGATGGCCATAGAAATGAAAGCCCACAACCCACCCTAACCCTAACGTCACCATGGTTTTCTCTTCCAGGTGGAATCAGTCTGACCTCAAAGGACCCCCGTTGGGTGGGTGCCTGGTGGCTGGGCTTCCTCATCTCTGCTGCCATGGTGGCACTGGCTGCCAGTCCCTACTTCTTCTTCCCCAGGGAGATGCCCAAGGAGAAGCATGAGCTTCGCTTCCGGCGAAAGTTCTTGGCAGGTCCAGCCTCACCTGTCAGCAAGGTAAAGCTCCCTCCCGCCCTCGAACATCTCCAGCTCCCATCCACATGTCTTCCTTTGTAACACCAAGTGTCCTCCCTCCTGCCCTTCCCAGTTAACCACACTCATTGCTGTCTGGTTTCTACTGCATCCTCCCAACAGCCCCACACAGTGAATATCACAGGCCCTTCCACAGCTAAGGAAACCTAGGTCCAGAGAGAGAAACACAGAGTTAGCCAGAGAGCCCTGGAATGAGAACCCAGGCCTGCCTGAGTCACTTAGCACTGGTCACTTAGAGTTTTGTAAATCCTAAACATACTATAGGAATGGCAAGCATTGAAGACCATGGTGGTAATGTTTGGGAAGACTTCGCGGAAGAGGAGGGATTTGAACAGGATTGGTAGGTTGTATGGAAACACAGAAAGGAGAGGCACAGAAATCATAGGCACAGACACAGCCTGGGCAAAGGATTTGGCTGTAGAGTGAACCTAGACCTACTGAGAATAGTGAAGGGGACAGATGTGCATTGATCACCTCCTTTGGGCTGGACAGTAGACATCAGGGCATGGTCTCTATCCTTAAAGTCGGTCTAATCTAGTGAGGACAAAACATCTTGGATGAGTAACAGCCACAGGAAAGATGCTCCCAGGATATCTCTCAAATCCTCTGCTCAGCTCTCCAGGGCTGTGGCCTTTGGGACCCTGAGGCCCAGCCTGATAGAGCAATTTGCCCAAGGTCACCAAGCAGGTAGAGAGAAGCCTGTGAGCTATGGAGCAGGGTGAGTGGTTCTAGGTCAGGGGACTCCAAGTTTTCCAGGAAGTCACAAAAACATGAGGCCTCAAAACCAGTAAATTGATTCCAAATAAAAAAAGAAAATCACAAAAGAGAAATGCTTTTTAAAAGCTAATGTCATCATTAATACTTCATACCTATTTCATTATATTCTGAAAATTTATGAGTTAGATTTCCTTCTTTCCCAAGTTTGGGAAGTGCTTGTTGAAAAATCAAATCATGAATTAAAGTACTTGGAAGGGGTTGGGGCCGTGGCTCAAGTGATACAGCACCTACCTAGCAAGTTTGAGGCCCTGAGTTCAAACCTCAGTGCACCAGTAAATAAATTAAAAAAAAATAAAAAAAAAAAGGCACTCCACAGGAAAAAATATATAAAAATCCTATTGTATGTTTTGCACCAAGAATTCTATTTAATGTGGCAGACTGGTGCACTTGAATATGTTTGCTGTAATGTGGGATTGGACCTCCCTCTTAGAGCAAGAAACTTTGGGCCTAGGAGGAAGGGCTAAAAAGGTCTTTGCCTAGAAAAGTTGAGATTTAAGCCTCAGTGTGTCTGACTCCCAGACCTGGCTGCCCTACAGAACCTCACTGTCCACCTAACCTGTGTAGGGGCAGAGGGTGTAGACATGGACCAAAGAAAACTGAGATGGGGTGCACAGTAGGGGCCAGAACAGGAGAGGCCTTGACTGCCAGCTTCAAGGCCAGCTTGTAGCCCTGGAAGGAGGGGAAGCAGGGGGTCCTGCTCCATCACCAGGTGCCAAGTATATAAAGGACTATGAAGGACAAAGGAGAGTGTGTGGAAGAGGCCAAAAAAGCAGCTATAGCAATAGCACAGACAGGAAGCAGTGCTCGGGCAGGCAGAGCTGGGACTGCTCAGATAGGAGCCATCTGCTCTGCTTTGGAGGCCCCAGAGACAGTGAAGGGATGGGCGGTGCTGGAGTTGGGCTCACTGGTTCAGACATCAGGGAAGACGTGGAGGGCAAGAGGAGGAAGAGGGGATGCAGTTTCAAGGGAAAAAGATAGCTTGGAACCTCAGAGTCTCCATCTCACTTCTGCATAACTCAGGACAAAATGTAGAGATGGGATTCCTAGAACTTGGGGAAGAGTTCTTGGAGGTGGGGGTGATCACAGGGAAAGATGAGAAGCTGTGTTCTGGTTTCAGATATTCTCCAAGTTGGACCCCAAATTTGGGCAATGGGGTGGTACAGGTGGAAGAAGCAAGAGTTGGGGCAGGTGACTGTCTATGCTGAGCTGTCACATGTCAGCCATGTGACCTTAAGCATCAAGTCACTTCCCCATTCCCTGCTGTGGAATAAGGTTCATATAAGGTGCAGAGGTTCGATTCCCAGACCAATTACTCCATGTGCCTCAGATTCTGAGAATGCACCATTCTTGAGTTGAAGCTGCTGTGATTCTGAGAGTCGGATTTTGAGAGCTGTGTGCTATGAAGTCTTGAAACACTGGTCCCCGGCTGTGAACCTGTCTGGCTGTCTGCATTTATTCTGTCAGCACTTTGGGACGGGGGGTGGGGAAGGTAAGGGGTGAGAGGTTCTTAAAAAAGGACTGAAGGCTGAGAACATGATGAACTGCTTCCAGCGGTCCTCAGGCAATAAATATTGTTGTGGAAGGAATCGCTCCTCTGCCTCCTTGGAACTGCCTTGGCCAGGCTATTTTCAGGAAAGCTGGCTGGCCTGGCCACTATGGCCACTGATGAGGAGGTACATGGAGCAGGAGAGGCTCAATTAGGCAGAATTGGCTGCCAGAAAATCCAGGTCCCCAGAAGCAGAGTGTGCATATCCTGTAGTGAGAGGGAATGGGCAAGAGCAAAAGATAAAAGAGGGACTGTTTTGGAAATCCTTTCAAGCATCCCCTCCCAGGTTTAGGGCTTATGGCCCCCAAATGCCCTCTAAGAGGTAAATGCGGTTTTTAAAGGTACCCAGGAGATGGTGGTACATAATATAAGGATTATGAGATTTAGAGAGAGTGTCTTTGGCCTCAGTTTCCCAATCTGTATAATGGGCAGCAGTTTGGACAAAGTCTTCCAGCTATGATGGGTCCGATGCAGTGTCCTCTAAATGGCTACATATCTCAGGAGCAGCTTTACAGGGGAGCTGAGGGCTGTATCCACACCACCTGCCCTGAGAAGCCCTGGGGTAGTGAAGGAAGGCCAGGCACAGCAAAATGGCTTAAACAATTCAGGTTTCTCCTGTCGCCAGGACGATGGCCTGGCAGAAGGCTCTGCAGGGTCTCTGGAGTAAAGATGGTCTGTTAGGGGCTTCCAAGGGGCCCTCTTAGGTGCTCCATTCAGCCAGCACCTCTCTTGTGTTCTCTGGTCCTTCTGAGAACCTATCCTTGGGGCTGGGTCAGGGCCTGGGAGGGGCCCAGCCACTGGCTTCCCTGCAGACAGGCCTTTTGCCTTAAGGATCCTGGCCCTGCTCAGCCTCTGTGTACCACTAGACTCTGTGACCTTCCTTCGGGTCCTATTTCCCAGGGGTCTATGTGACTATTATTTCTGGGAGCCTGGAATTTTATTTATTTAATTAATTAATTTATTTATTTTTATTATTAATATGTGCATACAATGCTTGGGTCATTTCTCCCCCCTACCCTCACCCCTCCCTTAGCACCCACCCCACTCCCAACCTCTCCCCTCCACCCACCTCGATACCCAGCAGAAACTATTTTGCCCTTATCTCTCATTTTGTTGTAGAGAGAGTATAAGCAATAATAGGAAGGAACAAGGGTTTTTGCTGGTTGAGATAAGGATAGCTATACAGGGCATTGACTCACATTGATTTCCTGTGCGTGGGTGTTACCTTCCAGGTTAATTCTTAAGATCTCACCTTTTCTCTAGTTCCTGGTCCCCTTCTCCTATTGGCCTCAGTTGCTTTTAAGGTATCTGCTTTAGTTTCTCTGCATTAAGGGCAACAAATGCTAGCTAATTTTTTAGGTTTCTTACCTATCCTCACCCCTCCCTTGTGTGCTCTCGCTTTTATCATGTGCTCAAAGTCCAATCCCCTTGTTGTGTGTGCATTTGATCTAATGTCCGCATATGAAGGAGAACATGCGATTTTTGGTCTTTTGGGCCAGGCTGACCTCACTCAGAATGATGTTCTCCAATTCCATCCATTTACCAGTGAATGATAACATTTCGTTCTTCTTCATGGCTGCATAGGAATTCCATTGTGTATAGATACCACATTTTCTTAATCCATTCGTCAGTGGTGGGGCATCTTGGCTGTTTCCATAACTTGGCTATTGTGAATAGTGCCGCAATAAACATGGGTGTGCAGGTGTCTCTGGAGTAACCTGTGTCACAGTCTTTTGGGTATATCCCCAAGAGTGGTATTGCTGGATCAAATGATAGATCGATGTCTAGCTTTTTAAGTAGCCTCCAAATTTTTTCCAGAGTGGTTGTACTAGTCTACATTCCCACCAACAGTGTAAGAGGTTCCTTTTTCCCGCATCCTCGCCAACACCTGTTGTTGGTGGTGTTGCTGATGATGGCTATTCTAACAGGGGTGAGGTGGAATCTTAGCGTGGTTTTAATTTGCATTTCCTTTATTGCTAGAGATGGTGAGCATTTTTTCATGTGTTTTTTGGCCATTTGAATTTCTTCTTTTGAGAAAGTTCTGTTTAGTTCACTTGCCCATTCTTTATTGGTTCATTAGTTTTGGGAGAATTTAGTTTTTTAAGTTCCCTATATATTCTGGTTATCAGTCCTTTGTCTGATGTATAGCTGGCAAATATTTTCTCCCACTCTGTGGGTGTTCTCTTCAGTTTAGAGACCATTTCTTTTGTTGAGCAGAAGCTTTTTAGTTTTATGAAGTCCCATTTATCTATGCTATCTCTTAGTTGCTGTGCTGCTGGGGTTTCATTTAGAAAGTTCTTACCTATACCTACTAACTCCAGAGTATTTCCTACTCTTTCCTGATCAACTTTAGAGTTTGGGGTCTGATATTAAGATCCTTGATCCATTGTGAGTTAATCTTGGTATAGGGTGATATACATGGATCTAGTTTCAGTTTTTGCAGACTGCTAACCAGTTTTCCCAGCAGTTTTTGTTGAAGAGGCTGCTTTTCTCCATCGTATATTTTAGCGCCTTTGTCAAAGATAAGTTGGTTATAGTTGTGTGGCTTCATATCTGGGTCCTCTATTCTGTTCCACTGGTCTTCATGTCTGTTTTTGTGCCAGTACCATGCTGTTTTTATTGTTATTGCTTTGTAATATAG